TAGCGTCAGTACTGACAGGTTTCCACTGCGGCTTCTGCCCTAATCTACAGCGTTCAGCAGCAGAGTCGCTCGGTAACCAGGCTCGCCCCCTCCCACGGAAGCAAGCACAACTTTCTTGCCTGCAGGCACCCCTCCGTCTGTACGACCCCTAAGCGGTAAGGCAACTACTTAAGAAAACCCAAGTTAGCTAGGAAAAGATATCCTTCTTTCCCGGAGGCTTGAATCCATTTGTGTGCACGGACATCGGAAGCGGGCCGAGTGCATACCCTCCAGCCCAGACCTCCGCCACGACACCCGTGCCGCACCATCTCGTCCAACTCGTCCAGCTCGTCTTCGTCCTCCTCCCCTTGCTCGTCCCCCTCGCCCGCAGCCAACCCGCCCGCCGCTGCTGCAGCCCCCGCCGCCGCCTGCTGCCGTTTGGCCTCCTCTTCCTCCTCTTTTTTCTTCTGCGAAGGCACACGAGGGCGCGAACACCAGGGATAAGTATACTCAAAAACGTTTACACAATACCTAGGCAAAGGCCCACATGGCCACACCAGCTGCCTGACCTCGGATGGTGCTCCACACGAGCTTACTTTCACGACTGAGGTTCCAGGAGCTTCCAGGGCATCCCGAGGTTCCTAGGCAAGACGAGGTGAGTAAGGCCGTACCCCTGCTGGTTGAGACCTGGTGCGAAATCAGCACAAGGGTCCCTCTGCGCCTTTTCCCCCCTTCCCTTCTGGCGGTCCGTCCCTACCCCACCCAGGCATATACCCCTGGGACTCACTTCCAGCTGAGACCCGCCCACCCCGCCATTGCCACCTAACCCAACCACCAACCCACCCGCTCCTCCTCCTGATCCGAGTCATCTGGGTCACCCAGCTTCTTGAGCTTCCGGGCCTGCTCGTCAGCCTCCTCGCCCTCGTCCTCGTCATCAGCCTCAATACCCAGTTTCTTGCGCATGCCTAAGGGCGACATCAAGGATGAGCGGCGGGGAGGGGTGCTTGGGTGTATGGGTAGGCATGGGTTGCGAGGTGGAAGCTAGGGGCAATGGGTTGAAGGTGGGGCAGGTGGTATAGGGGAAGTGGATAAGTTGAATGTGGTACCAGCAGCCAGGGTGCAGACAGGATTGTAAGGTGCAACGGACATGGGGACACGTCCGTGATATGGCAGCATGCAGATGAACTGGGTGACGTGGTACCAAGCCACGGGTGTATCGAAGTGCATATTAGTAAAGGTATCCACACATGACAGCATCGCATCCACGTGCTGCCGTACAACGTACCCGGGTCGTCCTCGTACACCTCGTCGTGCCCCTGGTCCTGGTCGTCATCGTCGGGCTCGAACTCGTGCTCCCAGTCCTCGGCCTGGCCGTACGGCACCCAAATGCAATGGCCATCGGTAGGGGCGCTGGTAGGAAGACAAAGCCCTGGCACCCTTGCTTCCCGCCCCGACCGCTGCCTCTGCGCGACAAAAACCCATTTCACTATATCCATAAACATGGCTAGCTCCCGCAGAACCATACCCATCCATTACCCCCTTCCGCACCCCCCCTCCCTTGCCTGCTGTAACCTGCGATATTGCTGCTTAACTGTGCGCACCTCCTACTGCTCATCTTCCC